ACAATTCAAGATATGCACAACTGTGTGAAAATATTCTAGAAACAGGCCAGTCTATAGTGTACAGAGCCCCTAAGGGTAGTCGTGGGTGGGTGTGAGAAAGAAACCTCATTTGTTTGAGTGTGGTGAGAGAGCGGAGGAAGAATTTGTTTTTGTCATACGCTTGTTATCTGGTTTTAACCTAGTGCTTTAGGCAGATCTGTTTTGGCTGACTTAGGCTGAGTAGGTAAATATGCCACTCTCAGCAAGAGAAGAAGCTTGAAAGATTTGGTTTTGTTAGCCTGTTTCCTTCTGCTATTTTTCGTATTTTCCTTTCCTCCTTGGTCTTGTTCTCTTGTTCTTTATCCTGTTTGTGGTTGGTTAGCTGAGAGTTTATAGACTCTGTGCATGATTGGCTGAAAACCCCTTTTATTTCTTCCTCAGCGTGTTATTGGCTGCCATTAGTTTGTGGTGAGCTGCTCCTGATTTCCTGATTTGCTGATAGCTAGCGTGTGGTGACTCAGCCCGCCGTGTGATTGGCTGCAGCTGCGGCTGCCTGTTGAGCTGTAATTAAATCGCAGTGGATGAGAGAGAGTGAGCGAGAGAAGCAAAAGTAGGTCACTGGGTCAGCATGACAGTGAAGCATGTACTGACATCACAGTTACAAAACCATTTCTCAGCCTACTGTTAACGCCACAACCGCTCTACAGGAAATGCTGGGGACTGCCTTACTTCCCTTTTCTTTTACTTCACTTTTATGTCTCGTTTTATCCTTTTTCACCATGATGAGTTTTTTTCACAAACCCTCCCTCTCATTTTTTTTCTTCTTGCAAGCCGTCTTATCCTTTTTTTCTCTGTCGAACCCTTCTTCACGGCTTTTCATGCCATGCTTTTTGTCAAATCTTTTGCGAAATTGACTTGGTGAACTGAAACTATTTGACTCTGTCCTACATCCTTTTCCACTCCTCTGTCGCCTCTCTCTCTCTACACATGTGCCCTTCTCATGTTTTTTTTCCCCAGAGTCCCCCATCTTCTATTTCAAAGTCTTTTTATGTTGCCTCCTAATTCAAAGAAATCCTTTGGATTCCTGGAGTTGTATGTAGAAATTATGTGTTTTATGTGTTGAGGTTATATTTATGGCACTGTGTCAGAGGATTCCTCTTCTCTACATTTCCCAGTAGTGTAGCAATTCAGTTTTTCTTGTTGATCTGACGCTCCAGAAACATTTGAAGCTCATATCTGGAAAGCCTGCCAAAAATCTTCAGTGCGCAACATCAAAAGGAATCTCAATTTTTGTGTGTCCCTTGTCAAACAATCCCGAATCCTATTTTGAGTATTCCTGCCAGAGGTTGTAATCTTAAATGATCCCATTGAAATCCAAAATAATACCCCTGGATGAACTGAAATTGCCAAATGATTCTTTTTTTTATTCTTTGAGTTCTGGATATTGTGTAATCTTTGTAGAGTACAAACCCTACTTGTATTAATTGTGTCTTACCCCAGGAAAGTAAAAAAAAATTATATATTTCCTTTAAATTCTTTTTGTTATTCTACAAGGATATTTTATTATATTTGCTATTTTTATTGTATTAGATTTTATTATTTTATTATATAATATTTTGGGAGTATGTGCTAGAAAATGTGATTTATGTTTTAATCCCGTAACAGAATTCCCATTTAGATCCTTTTGTATTTGTTCCAAATTTATAAAAAATCCAGAATTATTATTATTTTAACTTTGGTGTGTGTGTGTTTTGTTTATTTATCTATTTTGAATTCCTAGAATCGTATTGTTTATTATGTGGTTTTGATCAGATTTGTTTTGTATTGGAATACTGTTTTGCTTCCGGACAGTCAAAGGAAATTGCAGGAGGAGCTGTAGGTGTTTTAAAATCCTGACGGGTTTCCTTTAAATCCCTGCAGGGGTATTTTATGCTTTTGGTAGCATAACAGTCCTGTGTGTGCTACAAATATCAAATTTATTTTGAGTTTTGTTGAAATCATTTACACTACCTGTTAGTGGTTTTTGAAAGTATCTTACTCTCACCAAGGCTGCATTTATTTGATCAAAAATACAGTTAAAACCGTAATATTGTGAAATATTATTACAATTTAAAAGAACTGTTTTCTATTTGAATATATTTGAATATGTAATTTGTTCCTGTGATGTCATAGCTGAATTTTCAGCATCATTAGGTCTTCATCGGTCTTCAGTGTCACATGATCCTACAGAAATCATTCTAACATGCGGATTTGCTGATAAATCGTATTATTATTGATATTGAAAATGATTGTGCTGCTTAATATATATATATTTTTTTCTTTAATTAATAGAAAGTAAAACCGCATTAATTTGAAGTATAAATCTTTTGTAACATTAGAAATGTCTTTACTGTCAATTTTGATCAATTTAATTGATCTGTGCTGAATAAAAGTTTTTCAAAAAACAAACAAACAAAAAAACATTTTACAGACCTCAAACTTTTGAATGGTAGTGTATATTTAGATCCGATCCAAAGTCTAATAGAAACAAGTTTTTGTCTCCCATCATTTACACTCTCTTAAGTTCAGATTCTGTTAGTTTATTGTGTCTGGCCTGGTTCCTTGTTTGCGGCTGTTTATGTCGGCTTTTTCTTTCTTTGTCCTAAATGTTGCAGGAGTGGCTGAGTTGAGTCTGAGCTGTGTCGGTAGGTTTGGTTGTTTATTTTCTTTGTGTTTGTTGTCTGGGTCAGTAGTCACATGTAGTGAGCAGTAGGGGGACATAGCTGGTGTGCAGCGTGGCGTGACCAGAGGTCCAGACATGTGACAAGACACTCATGATAAAATTGAGAATGTGAAAGAGAGGTTTCCAGCATTAGCACACTTGTTTTCATCTGGTCACCACACCTCCGAGCACCATGAACCATAGTGCATTACAGCCATTGTCTTGTTTGCTGTTGTGATGAGTCGGTGTGTCTCCACCACGTCTGTGCATTTCAGCTAAAGGAATGTGGCTACGTTAGCAGCTAATTTAACCGAGCTAATCACCTAAACTTCCTTCCAGAGGTTTCTTTGTTGTTATTCCCGCTTTATAGATGTGGTAATGCTTATATACAAACCATTCAAATGTTATTAGTGAATGCAATAAATATCTGTATCTTTATTTACATTTCTGGTGTAAATGTGTTTGATATTTGTTGACGAAATTTTCTGTTGATCTGGAATAGGCTGTTGGGTCACTCTTCATTGGCGGTGGCAAGTTGGTGTCACTTTACATTAGATGAAATAAACTTTAAATACCAATAATTCATCAAATGTTTGCATATTTGTATCCTCTAGTTTGAAAACAATGTGTGTTAAAAGTTTAAAAAGGTATCTCGTGATGCAATTGCCACAATATAATACAAATAATGTGGCTCTATTCTGAATATCGATTTTATTTAACATGTTCATTTTAATAACTTTGTTAAAAAATTTTTTTTTCTATTTTAAGAAAAAAGTGAAATTACATTCAAAATAAAATTAAAAATCTAAATCTTTCTAAAGGGATAGTACCCTGATTTCCATATTTTTTTCCCCATACTATGGCAGTCAATGTGGACAAGAAACTGCAAACTGTAACCCACATTCTTCGGAATACTTTCTTTAATGTTCAACAGAAGAAAGAAACTCAAGCAGGTTTGGAACAACTTGAGGGTCAGTAAATGATGACAGACATTTCATTTTTGGGTGAACTGTCCCTTTAAGCTTCTGTTGTACCGAATCTATAGCATTTTAAACACCATTTAAATACATAGCAATACGTTTTAATATTTGAAAAAAGTATTTATAAAAATATATATAAATATATATTTTTTCAAATTCTGCCTCTCGCCACTCCAATTGAAGAATGACCCAGTTGTGTGTGATTTTCATTTGAGGTCATTTGAGTGAGTTTAGGTATGCGTGTCTGTGCTGCTTCATGTGAGCTGATGGGTCATGCTAGCTTCTAGCATTAGGCTAATCTCCTTGCTGTTATCGTTCCTTTTTATAGACCATTGAAATGCCCATAAAGTACAAGCTTGTAAACAAGAACGACCAACTGTTTCTGGCAGGATGACAAAGACAGTAATGTGTTCTATCATTATGCTGTATTTTATGAGTGCTAATGAGTGCAGGTGTTTTGTGACTGACTGAAGGCTTTTCTCTGCAGTATGCAAAAAAAACACACACACAAAAAACACTGATTTTATCAGTGTCATGTGCTGGGAGTATTAGGGGTGCTTTCTCACTAAAGAAGAGCCACTCTCTGTTTGACATCAGATTTTATATTATTTTTATGTCATGTCATGTTATGTTTGACATTTTGTTGACTACATTTTCTGTTGATCTGGAATAGGCTGTTGGGTCACTCTTCATTGGCGGTGGCAAGTTGGTGTCACTTTATGTTGTATTTTTCTTTTTTAATTTAATTTTATTGTATTTATTTTATTTTACACTGTGCTTCATATTAAATTGTATATGTGAAGTTCATGTGAAATCTGGTATAGCAATCCCAGATAGCTTGGTGAGGCTTCTTTATGATTATGTGTTCAAATGATAATAAAATAAAAATCAAAACACACGTTTTGATGGGTAACCATACTTCAAAAACAGTGAATCTGTCATCTTCTCATTCTAAGTTGTTAGTCAGTTACAGTGATTATCAGCTGCTGCTTGTAGTCTTAGTGATGATAAAAATAGTTTTACCCAAAGGTTTGGACCCAAATAATTCAATGTAAAATGAGACCCGCGGATGAAATCAAACTGTGGTTCAGACCAGATAATCAAACCATGCATAGAAACAGCCTAAATGTTAAATATTTGATGCTATTAGCCAAAACACAATAGACTGACTGTGAGCTGATGTAATTTGATAGTAGTAATCTTGATAAGCACACACACTTTGACCCAACTTTTATCATTATTGCATGCATTTTAAAGGACCACTGGGTCAAAGCAGCTACCCTTGTTTGTGAAGTTATGTAAATTTTTATGTAAACATCACTTTTTTTTCTTTTTTTTAGCTTTCTTACTGTCTTGATGAAAAGAACAGGATGCTGTCATCTCTATTCAGAAGGTGATCATTGTAGTCTTCCTATTGGAACATGGAAACCTAATAGGCCACACCACATCACCACTGCTATATATAGATTGGCTTCAGGGGTGTATGCCTTTATGACATAACATTAAGGTCATGACCCTTCTCAGGCTTACTAGGTCAAAGTGATGTTTTTATCTTGAAACCTGAACACCTACTTTTATGAATTCAGATGTTTTTGTTTTATTTTCATTTGGTTATAATCTCCTTCGTACCAGTTAAGCTAAAATATTATTATTTCCTCTAATGTAATTGAAGCATTTTCTCTGCAGCCAGCTTTTTATGTGACTAATTTCTGTTTGTGTTTGTGTTTCAGATTTTAGAGCAGATTTACAGTGGTTCAGGAGTATTGCTGCTATTACAGAAATAATGACATGAGTGAGTTTATTACTTCCCAAATTATTTCATACATTACAATTCAGTTGTCTTAAAAATGACTACATCTTTTATTTTTAATGTAAGAATAACTTTTATATTAGCAATATTTCAAAATGAACACTTGCTCCATTGAAGCAACTTAAGTTTACTTGATTATCCATACTTAATGTTTTTTTTCTCTTTTTTTTTTCTCTCGAAAAATCA